GGCGGGCGCGTAAGGCTGTCAACCTGGCCGCCATCTGTGAGCTGATTGTCTAGAAAATTTGGGAACCTCAACATCTCACAACCCTATTGGCCTCCACGGCCTGTTACAGAGATACATTTGCTTTACTTTTTATCTAAATCCAGAGAAAGCCAGTCATCCTTAAAAATATGAATACAGCTTTGAATGAAATTATGTAGATGAAAAAGTAAAGATTAGAAGTTTGTTATAATCAGTGATGTAACTATCTTGTAGTACCACTGTTGCTATACTGTACAACTTGTGAGCACTGCCTGACTAATTAAGGAATTGTCAGCACTTGATTTACATGTGAAATTATTAAAACAGTTTATGCCCAAGAAATAATGATATTGATTGAATTATGAACAAGTTTTTAACATTCCTGCTGTCAAGCTTAAATCTTCTCTGAGTGTACATTCTGTAAGCTGGGAAGTTGAAGATGTTTTCCACTGGATTTTTAATTCATATAAAATATGTTGCAGTTGATTTCCTAATGTTGTCAAGGTGACAAATGACAATACATGTATACATCAGATCAGTCTGTTATTTTGTTACTGAATGGGTTTGTGATTAACAGAAGGCATAGCAGCTGGAATTGGCTCAGATGTGTCTTTATATCTACATGGAGATACAAATTTAAGAATTTAAGCAGTTTTATGTTTTGCCATCAAAATATGTACCTATTTATTGTCTAATTCCTCTGGCCCTTTGGTTTTAGATTAGAAGTCTAATTTTCTTTCAGGAGTTATTGGGATATAAAAATTGCTGAATCAGATGAATGAGCATTGCTTAATTCTACTGAGGTATCAGATCTTGCATTAAACTGATTTTAGAGATCTGTGAAGTTGTTTGAAAATTAGATCTTGATCAGTTTTTTAAAGTTTTTAGACAGTATATCACATTAAATGAAATAACCTGAAACTTAAATGCTTAAAGGGATATTTATAATTAAGAGAAGAAATTATAATATTAATATCCACAATTGAAGCTAGTTTTGCTGTCATTGCAGGTGTGTTAATTTGTACAGATGTGATGGGAAGAGGTGTGGATATTCGTGATGTTAATTGGGTAATACAGTATGACCCACCAAAATCAGCAGCAGCATTTGTTCATCGTTGTGGTCGGACAGCAAGGATTGGCAATCAGGGATCAGCACTTGTTATGCTTTTGCCCACAGAAGATGCTTATGTTGATTTTATATATCGAAATCAGAAGGTGATACTATAACTAAATGGAATTTTTCATGAAAGTAATAGTACAAATTATTCACATTAGCTTTAGAAGTATGAAGCATTAAACCCCATGACCACCCCATTACAAACAGCAAGCTCTAAATGCTCACAATATCAGGGCTTCAGACATGTAATCTACTCTTCACAGCTGAGTTAATGAAGATTGGTGGGGAGTACAGAAACACTTATATTAAGCATACTCCAAGTGTTGGACAAGTGTATGTTGTTAAACAAGTAGCAGATTCTAGTTGTATTTCAAAAGCCCTGCACATTTTAGTAGTTATTTTAAAGGGCTAATGGATTCATGTTCTCCAGAATTTGAAGCTATGAGTGGCCTTTAAGAAATATGATTTTTAAGTATACCTTAAGATATTCATACCAACTTCTGTAAAAGTGGTTATAGAAGTGTTGGTTGGGTGTTGCCTTAAAAAGTAAATTCATCTTATTAATTGTGCAGTTAATGGGAATTCCATGAAATTTCTCTTTTCTAAAGTATGACACTGAAAGCATTTAAATAAGATAAACAGTAGTTTAAAAAATTATAATATACCCTTCAGAAAAATTATTTTTAAATATATTTTTATTGTTTTAATATGACATTTTCAAAAATATGCAATATCATCTTCGTGAAGCCACCTGGAACATTTTTTGGCATGAAATGTTTAGAAGGCCACAGAGAACATCTGTAAGGGTGGAGTTGTAACTCATATCACACAAGGAGTTTTTAAATATTATTAAAGTTACATAACTTACAAAAGGACAATATTTATATTTCTTAATTTCTTTGGCAGAACAATGGGAAAACAGAAAAACCCAAACATAAAATGAGTTATTCGCTATCTGATGAAAAGGAACACACACACAAGTAAATTTGATTCTAACATCATGCATTAATAAGAAATAACATTCACAACCTATCAGAATATTAGAAAGTTCAAATAATGAACTAAACTAACTTCATGGAGCTGAGCCCTTCTTGAGAAGCGGCCAATTGTGCAGATACTCAAGAACTTCCCAGCATTTTATGGAACCTAAATAATGAGATGGTATGGATTGGATTGATCTGGCTCAGGATAGGGACCAGTGGAGGGCTCTTGTGAACACAATAATGAACCTTCAGGTTCCATAAAATGCTGGGAAATTATTGAGTAGCTACAGATTTGGCTTATTCTCAAGAAGAGCTCGGCTCCGTAAGTAAGTAAATATTACCATCATTACCATCCATATCCTGAGCCAGATCAATCAATCCCATACCGCCCCATCCTGTCTTTCATAGGTTCATCTTAATATTGTTCATGCACCTACATCTTGGTCTTCCCAGTGGTTTCTTTCCTTCCGGACTCACCAAAATCCTATATGCATTCCTCTTCTCCCCCATTCATGCTATGTGCCCTTTCCATCCAATCCTCGGCCTGATCATTCTAACTATGTTTAGTGAAGAATACAAGTTATGAAGCTCTTCATTATGCAGTTTTCCCCAACCTCCAATTTCTGCCTTTACCTTTGGCCCATATATTCTCCTCAGCACCATGTTCTCCAACCCCCTCGGTGTGTGTTCCCCCCTTAATGTCAGAGACCAAGTTTCGCACCCATACAGAACCACAGGCAAAATTATAGTTTTGTATGTTCTAATTTTTATGATTTTAGACAGCAGACAAGAAGACAGATGGCTCTGGACTGAATGGAAACAAGCGTTACCTGAATTCAATCTCCTCTTAATTTCCTCTTTAAACAACTTTTGATTTGTTACTGTCATTCCCAAATGTCTGAACTGTGCCACATTTTCAAAGCATCTGTTAGCTGTCATTATGTCATAATTTTTCCCTGCATTTTGGTAACGAGATAGCATCATATACAGGGTGGGGTGCAGAAACTTCCTTTATTTGAAGGTGAATAAAAGAAAAATTATTGCTGATAGACAAAATTTATGTTTAGCTAATGAAAGAACATACTTTAAAGTTTTAAATCATGTAGTTTTAAACAAAATATCTTGAAGGTGGTGGCCACCGTTCTCTATGCACTGATGCAACCGTTTTCTGAAGTTCACCTCTGCACGTTTCAACATGTGCACCAGAATTTGGGCTACTTCCTGCCGAATAACATTCTTCAGCTGAAGCAGGTTTGTGGGGCGATGTTTAAAAACCTCTGCCTTGAGGTATCCCCATAAAAAAATTACAGGGCATTAGATCAGGTGAGTGCGCTGCCCACGGGATGTCACCTTGAAGCGAGATGAGCCGTCCGGGGAACTTTACCCTCAAAACTGTCATCTAAGCTCGGGCTGTGTGGGCCATGGCACCATCCTGTTGGAACCAGACATTTCCTAGCTGCATTTCTTCAAGACCTGGTTCGAAAAAGATCTCAAAATCGACTGTCGAAGTGCCTTCACATTTTCTGGCGTCGTAACAGTCCATTGTCGTCCTGATGATTTTTTCACCACACTCCCGGTTGTCCTAAAGTTCTCCACCCACAAAACAATCGATTTCCGGTCGGGAACCAGACCTCTGGGCTTAATTCCAAAGTGAGTATGGAACGCACACTGCACCGCCACGTAGGAATGGTTGTTCGAAAAATAGGCTTCGACAGCAAACACACGCTGCTCACTTGTCCACCTCATGTTTCCTACTGAGGGGTATTAGACAGAAACTTCCAGGACTGCTGCGTTTGCCGAGCCTATCCCCACTTTTCTTGCGATCTCCCCTCCCTTCACAATGCGTCTTCACAAAAAGGAAGTTTCTGGGCCCCACCCTGTACTTAGTTTTCTCTGTGTTTACTTCTAAACCAACCTCCTTAATAGCATCAATTAAAGTTTGTGTGTTTTTCTCTATGGTATCTATGTTGTCACCCAGTAGATTAACATCCATCAACAAGAGACCAGCATCTGATGTGTCCCATTTAATTTTAGCCCCACCTGGCTTTCCTGACCTCCCTAATGGCGTATTCTAAAGCAGCATTGAAAAGCAGTGGGGATAAAGTATCTCACTGTTTTAGGCCATTCTGGTTAGGAAAATTATCAGACAGATATTTATGTATATGGACTTTATTATACGTTTTGTTTAAACACATTTTAATCAGCCTAACTGGTTTCATGGGTACCCCAGACTATATGAATATATTGTACAGTACTTGCCTCCTAACAGAATCATAGGCTTTCTTGAGGTGTACGAATAGCTAATGTACTGTCTCATTGTACTGCCATTTTGTGTCCAGTATCTGACGAATTCAGAAAGTGTTATCAGTAGTTGATCTGTTACATCAAAACCCACACTGATGATCCTTAATAATTTAATTTATATATGGACTTAACCTTGACAGAAGGATATTGGATAAAATTTTGTATATAATTGATAGCAGTGATATCCCATGATAATACTAGTCAGTTCTGTCACCCTTCTTATGAACTGGTGCAATAATACAAAGTATGTCCGGAAAGTAAAGATACAAGGCCATAAAATATTTATAAAGCTTTTTTTTATTGATTTATAGCAATTTTACAACACCTATATTTACTTTTCAACATAGTCTTCATGGATCACAATGCACTTAGTGAGCCTGGGAACGAGTTCTTTTATTGCAGCGTTGTAGAAATCGCCTGCCTGCTCTCTTAGCCATGGAGAACATTTCTTGACACTTATGGACATTGTTGATGAAGTTCGTCTATCAGGATGAATGTTTTCATCAGGTTTTTTGGATGATTTCATCAGTGACAATGGTTGGCCTTCCACTCTTTATTTCATCATGAAAATCTCTTCTTCCCGCTTCAAATTCACAACACCATTTTGCCACGTTATGCCTGTTCATAACATCTTCACAGTAAACAGAAACAAGTTGGCGATGAATTTCAGCAGCAGCAGCAGTGTCTCCTTTTGTGTGAAGAAATCGAATTACTGCATGAACCTCACATTTGGTGGGATTTTGAATCCCACAGCCATTTTAAACGCACACTGTGAACACAACATTGCTGTGACTGACTGGTGAACTCAGCCCTGTCATACGGTTCCTATCTCACATGCAGCACTGCCATTTTTTGAGTGGGGGGGTGGGATCACTTGTATTTTTACTGGGTTTGCATCTTTACTTTTCGGATATCCCTCGTAGACTTCTTCCATTGATTCGACAGTTCTTCATTATTCCAAGTATAGTTAATTAACGTGTGGATCTCAGAACATAATATTTCAATTCCTGCTTGACTGAGTTCTGCCAAATTTCATCACTAGCTGGAGATTTATACTTTTCCAACTTTGCAATAGCAATTTCAGCCTCAAAAGGACCAGGATCAGTTACTTGTGGCTCAGTTGTATGTATTTCTATCTGTCTAACATCACTGATCCTATGTACATTCAGTAACTGAGAGAAATAGTTCTTCCACATATTAAGAAGTGTTGTGGGAATCTGCAAGCACATCACCATTCTCTTCCTTCACTGAGTTACTTCTAGGTCTGTTACCCCTCATAATTTATTTATTCTCCTATATTGGTCTCTAATCTTGTTCTTACTGTTTGTGACAAGCTCATCAATTTTATCTTTCATATAATCCCTCTTTTTATTCCTGAAATGCCTGAAGGCTTAATGTGTTATGTTGTTCAGATTATCCCCATTTATTTTTCTTGAATCCTGTAACCACAGCAGTTTGGCTTGTTTCGTTTGATCTGATAATATTGAGCATTGTTTGTCAATAACCCAGCCCCTCTTTGACTGAAATTTTGATATTCTCTTTAATAGTTTCCCAAGCTCAGTTAATGTCTACATCAGTATCTAAGTTTTCCAGAAATGCTGTGAAATAGTTCTCTGAAGCCTGATCATTTAAACCACTCAGTGTTTCTTTAGAAGTTAAATTCCAGCTGAACTATTGACCTAATTACAGTGGGAAAATTGCAAAGTATTCTCTGTGAAAAGAATAAAAAATTGATAGTGAAAATTTGACAATATTAATTGAAATTTAAAACTTTGACAGAAATTTCACATAAGTACCCATATATTTATGTGAAGAATTATGCAGAGCCCTAAGAATATTTTTTACTTCATTTGTAATCACTCATTTAGATCCACAGTGATTATTTTGTTGAACTTGCACCTAATATTTTGCCTTCGTCCTTTTTCCATTTCTTCATACTCATCCCATACATGTTGCATTTCTCTGATGGTACTGTCTGTGGTACCTGTTAACCATTAATATAATGCTGGTGTCTTATGCAGGTTGTGAGAATAAAACTATCTGCATAGCATGACTTCCTCTTTCTTCTACATGACCTGTCATGATTGCCTCACATGATTTTTAAACTTTTATTTAATACTTTAAAAGTCAGAACTTTTAAAACAGATCAATTATGTGTAAATGTTTGATATTAGTTCTGATACCATGTAATGTACCTGAAATCAGTTCTAAGCACTCATTATAAAACATCATTGAGCATTCACAGACGGAACAAATCTGGCTTTTATATCATGTTTTGGAACTTGCTTGTCCATATTATATTGATATTGGAATATTTCTGAAGCCACCACCCTTGTCTCTGCTTGAGTGGAAGCAAGGACATCAGAAATATGGAATTGTATATTGTACTCGCAAAGCAAAGTCAGTAGTTTAAGGAATACAGAACTAGATAAGTTGTATGCTAGCATGGCAGTAATGGTAAAGCAAATCTAAGTAATACTGTCTTACATATTCATTGGTAGTCTATGGGTATGTGAGTTTTGAGGTATGCCATAGGTTGCAGGTATTTATTTTTCCAGAAATCATTGAATTTCCGTTATTTTTTTTTACAGTTTTTCATTTATGAATAAAAGATGAATCCCCCTTTTTCAGTTGAAAATAAGTAAAAATACTGCATCTTAACACTTTGCGGACCGGTGGCATATTTTTATGCCCAGCACTTTTAAACGTGGCGGACCAGTGGCATATTATTATGACTTTAGGACACGTTATGTTGAAACACACTATACCTTGCACTGGTGCCAGGCAGACGCATGACTGGTGGGTGATAGACCTCTTGAACGTTTGCTTCGTACTCAGTAACATGACCCAACTGTTTTCCTTTCTCACTCCAAAAGAAAATGCCTTTGTTCATCTTCCAGCTGCATGCACCAGGCAGGAAGTTACTAGTGCAAAATGGATCAAGGTCGGAAGAGGTTGAGGTCCAAGCTTTTTCCCGTAGAACAAGAAATATCTGACTTCTTCTCCGATGAGCTATCTGATGTCCCTTGTGAGTCTGCTAGTGATAGCGACTCACAATCTGATAGTGTGTGTGGCAGGGACAAACAAAAAATTGTGGCCACAGACAGTGAAAGTGACAGTAGCTCTGACGAAAGTGCGGGTAACAACATTGTGGGGAGAGCCACATGGAGAAAAGTAGACAAAACGCCAGTTTTGGGACAGTTTACTGGAAATCCAGGGGTGAAGCAAATTCCATTGGACCCAACACAAGTGTGTGAAGTAGCAGAACTGTTTTTTGGAGATAGGGATGCTCGTGTTGTGAATATGATTTCCACAATTTACAATTTGAGCATGGTTGATGTTCAAAGGAGACATGGACAAGTAAAGAAGCCTATTTGTATTTCTGAGTATGATATGTTTATGAAGGGAGTTGATAGAGCTGATCAATACTTGGCCTATTATTCTCTTCCTAGGAAAATAATAAAGTGGACAAAGAAAGTTGCCTTGTGGCTTATAAATTGTGCCATTTTCAATTCACACAGACACAGTCTTAGTACAACCGGGGCCGTCTACTCCCACCCCACGCAGGCCTCATTTTGACCCCCCTGGGCAACTCTCGGGTGATATGCGGAAACGTACCCTCGTGAAAATTGTGAAGAGTGAACATGCCAAGGGGAAGCAGCCTTCTAGGCAATGCCATGTTTGCACAGTACACAACAAAAGTAGTATGACTGCCTACATGTGCAAGTTCTATGTAATGCCGCTTCACAAAGGGGAATGTTTCCAGAAATATCACATTCTTAAGCACTTCTAGGAGCATTGATAGGTGTTCTCCAAAAATTTTAGTTCATAAAATTAATTAGGAGATTTTATATTAATTTTTAAAGTGAACAGTGTACAAGTTAGGGTAGTAGGTTTAAAAATGTCGGTCCCCAGGGTGATTTAAATATTTAAATTGCCGGTCCGCAAAGTGTTAAAGTTTAATAAATATGGTACAATTGATGAGATAGGCGACATCGCCCAAGTTTAGCCACATACTTTATTAAAGTACTGAACTTCCTTATTGTGATGCTACAACCTGTAATGAAAATGGTAGTGTCACCTTTCATGCAGTAAATACTGATTTATGGTAAGCATATCATATTGTTTTATGTAAACACACTGTTACCCTAGGAACATACAATTTCTTTTTTATACAGGTGCATCTGGTAGAAATGGAAACTCCATTGCCTGCAGCTGATACCTTATCATGTGTTCGATCTATACAGCTAAAGGATCGTGCAGTTATGGACAAAGCTCTACGAGCATTTACATCTCATATTCATGCATATTCTAGATACGAGTGTAATGTTATTCTCAGGCTTAAAGGTAAAACATGATTTTAACATCAAAATCAATTTCTTATATTTATAAACTACTGTAGTGTGATTTATTACCACATATTTGGTACTTGGGTCATTCAAAAATGACTGAGGTAAAGGTCATTATTTGGAAATACTTGGAGGAATTTTGTAGCTGATGTTGGTAATCTGTAGAATATGTGAAGCTGCACAGAATGCCAAAAGATGGCAGTGCACAATTCAGGCAGCACCACATAACTGGCAGTTGTTCCAAATAGTGCTGAGTCATGTGTGGACACGATGGAAGGTAATTATCAGGGACAATGAATGGGGTGTTTTTCATGGAAAGAAGGCGTTCCTGCAGGTGACATTCACCATCAGCTAACAGCAGTTTGCAAAGATGCTGCCCTAAGCCATGCAACTGTGTTTCGATGGATTCAGAACTTAAGGATGGGAATGAAAGTGCAGAGAAGCAAGTAAGCACCGGATGTCCGAGAACATTACACACTTTGGACATGATCCAACGAATTTCTGATCTGATCATGCGAAACAGGCATGTGACTGTAGAGCAATTGCAAACAGAGACAGTTTTGTGTCTAGCGACATTTCACTTGTCTATTCAAGACAATTGAAAATAAGGAAGCTGTGTTCACAGTGGGTTCCCCACGACTTGACTCAGCAACAGAAGCAGGCCTGGATTGACATCTGCAAACCACTGCTTACACTTAATGACCCTGATCCAGCCAAATTTTTTGCTCAACTGGTGGCTGGTGATGAGTTCTGATTCAGCTATGCAATACCTCAGAATAACAACAGTCCATGCATTGGTGACATTATGACAGTCCTCCTTCAAGAAAAGCCCGACCAGTGCTGACATGCGGAAAACAATTGTCATCATTATTTTGGGGCATGCACAATGAATCCTGCTCATCGACTGTCTTCCTCAGGGCGTGACAGTGAACGGCAACATCTACTGTGACATTGTGACCTGTCCTTGCCACAGAATTCAGCAGCAGAGGAAGGCAAGTGGGCAAAGAAAGTGTTCCTTGTTGTGCGATAGTGCTTTCCCACATTTGTCCAAACAGACAAGGGCTCAACTGGTTGACCTTGTGTACACAGTGCTCCCACATCCTCCCTACTCTCCAGATTTAGACCCCTCAGATTACACTCTCTTCACTTGCCTTTAAGAGGCAAGACATTCCCCGATGTAGATGCCCTGCAAGGGGCTGTCCACCATTGGTGTCGCACTATGCCAAAAGACTGGTTCCAGGAAGCCATCATAAAGCTTCCACAATGATGGCATTGATGCATAGTACAGACTATGTCAACCATTCCTGAAACTACCACAATTTCACTATGCATTGTATTTTAATGAGGTTAGTCTCAGTCATTTTTGAATGGTCTAAAAATTGTATATACACAGTGGAAGATGTTTTATGCTTTCCAGCATTATAAAGTATCTAGTTTGCAGAAAGTTAGAGATTCAGAAACTTACTTCTGCAGGCAAGTTGACAGTCGTTGATGGCAAGTATAAAATGTATAAACTACTGTATCTGCCTCCACATAATTTATGTACCCCTGCTGTTGGACATGAAAGTTGGGGAAAAATTAAATGTTATATTTTTACCTTCGTTTTTTAATGAAAATGTTAGTTAAATATATATGATTATAAGTAATTAATCATGTAACTTGTGTGTACTACCAGACCCTGATTTAAATATTACTAGATTAAGGCTTGCAAAGTAACACACTACTGTTTATGTGTGCTGAACTCAGAAGAGTGAGCACAAGAATCCACTGATGCCGATGGACATGAACCTGAGCATAAATGCTCAGGGCAGAATGGAATTTGGAATGGCCAAGAAGAATGCACTGTTGAATAGATCATGGTCACTGGCTTGAATATGGTTTTCGCAGGTGACATGTGCTACATGTGCTGGAGATGTATCAGTGTAAGGGACTGTCTTGTTATGATTGAAATGAATGTTGGTTTCTCAATCACTTTTTACATTTTGTTTGATGTAAATCAGGTCATTAATTCATCTCGTTTGCTTTACCCAACATGGGAGGAATCATATCTTTTTCTTTCAAAAAGAAAACATGTAGCATGCGGCAAGACATTTCACACCACACCTGTGCATGTTTTAATAAAAGTGCAGATGATTTGAAATGACTAAGAGAAATAGTTATTTGTTAACTCAGTTAACACAATTAATTTGTTATTAAAATTCAGTATTGTCTCAATGCATTAAAACAAAAGCATTCTGGGATAAATATATCCCGTATATCTTGATAACTGTAGTCACTGATTTAGAGTATATAGAATGTCTGTAACCCCACCAATGGTATCTCCACCTTACTGTGGTGGTGAGGTTTGAGAGCTCCTGAGACCCTGGGAACTATGCCCACGGTAGCATAGCTACTGGTAGGGCAACCCATGCCGGACAGGTCAAGGGGTAGGAGCCAGACAGAGGGATACCCTGGTCCTCCAGGTTGGGGGTTGGGCGTGAGGCTAACGACCTCACACTGTAAAAACTAAATTGTTCAGAAATCCGAGGAAGGCCAGGGCTCACAAAGGGCTGTCGTGCCAGTGATGATGATGATGATGATGATGATGATGAATGTCTGTAAATTTGAGCCTGTAGACTTCATGCAATTTCTTATTGAACACTGAGATGGAAATGTCCAGTGATAAAATTTCATTCACTCCATAATTTATGTAGGAAATGCAACTGTTGGAAAAAAACGTATTATGTTGCCACATTGCATTCAAGTTTAATTGTGTTTTCTGCAAAAATTACTTGTTAAAAATCCCATAAAGGTAAGTTTTGGTCTCAGTATTCATCAAGGAATTGCACAATGAAATCCATAGCCTAACTCAAATTTTGGTGTAAAGATGAGCATAAATAAAGTAAAAAGTGAAGCTATCCCTGTACCAGGCCGTGAAGGCCCATAGGGTTGTGAAACGTTGAGGGTCCTACGCTATCTAGACAGTCGGCTCAAAGATGGCGGTAAGGTTGTCAATCTTACGCGCCAGCCGCACTTTACTCCCCAGGAAAATTATTTAATTAATTCCTGGTACTCATTTCTGTTAGAGGCTGAGTAAACCCCAGGGCCTAGTGCGGCTGGAAGGATTAGGTCAACTGAAGAAAATCCAATGACCTATTCGGGACTTGAACCCGCGACCTGAGTAAATACATTGTGCTACATTACTATGGCCAGTGGCCATTATGAACAATCCTCAATTAATAGCAACTCATCAAACAGTTAACCAACATGTCAGGCTAATAATTTAGAATTGGATTGTACTGTCTGTTAATATGAATAGGACTGTGCTTATGTACTGTGCAAATAGAAGTGCTTACACTGTATCGTTTCACAAGAGAAATCAAATTCATCATATATGACACTTGGGATTATCATTTACACCTTATAATTCATTCCACTATTGCATCTTACCTCACCAAAACTAACTACATGGAACTGAGGCTATCTTCAGAAGTGAATAGTTGCTCAATCAATCAGTATATTCATGGCATCCTATAGAACCATATTCACAAGAACTCATCACAGGTCCTTATCCTGAGTCAGTTGAATTCGTTACAGAGTAACTTAACAGTATTTATTTTGCAGACTTGAACTTTGGGACATTAGCTACAGGATTTGGACTTTTAAAATTACCCAAAATGCCTGAATTGCAAGGTAAAGATGTTTCTGATTTTGAAGAAGTGCACATAGATTTCAACAGTATACCATACATGTAAGTTTTTATATTTCATAACAGATTGTTTGAAAGAGCTTGGTTAAATGTCTGTATTAGAACACCATGAATCTGATCATTTTATGAACATCATTTATTCAACTTTGTTGGCTGTCAATTCTCTTTTCTTAGTTCTGGGCCTTTTAGGCTGCAAGTAATATAGAAAATTTTAAACTTATTAGGGATCGCCAGCGGGAACGGATTCGTCAAGAGAAGCTGAAGATTTACAAGAAGACAGGAATATGGCCAAAGTCAGATCAGAAAAGTAAGCGGAGATCTTGCAGACAAACAGAACCATGGTCCCTAAGCAAACAACACAGAATGGAACGTAAGAGTAAAAGAGACAGGCGAAAAATTAAAAAACAGCAGCAGCAAGATTCAGGGAGGAGCAAATGCAAACGAAAAAGGAACCTGTGTCAGGAAGATATAGATGAACTTGCCAAGGATATTGCACTTATAAAGAAACTGAAGCGAAGGAAGGTGAGAATGGTGAATTATAATTCTTAGTTTGAGCAAAAGCATTATAAAATTTGCATACATAATTTTTGGTTCCACTCTTTTTAGTGGAAATATATGGAGAAAATAACTCTGTTATGTGTAAGCATGATGGGTAAATTACATTTGAGGAACTGTTGAGCTAATAACATGTATTTAAAATTTGATCATGGATCACAAGGATTGTACTGTTTTTACCAATATTCAGTAAGGAAAAAAAGGCTGTTAAACTGCTTTATTGCTTTTAGCTTCTGAAGTAATGCACAAGTATACACTATACAGGTGAACCCTAGTAAGAAGTTTTCAAGAGAACCAAGCAGTCAGAATATTTTGGGTGGAAAGATGTCTTAAAGGGTAATTTGGATTTGAGGCTCTTACATATGTGGCCATGAAGAATTGTGTCTTCTGGGATGTAACATCATGTAGTTTAGTGAAAGTCATCTGATGTTTCAGAGCAACATATAGCCTTCATTTTCAGGGTTGAAGAGTAAGCTAAGCTTGCTGCCTGCTTCATCTTGGTTTCTTGCATGGCTTGCTCTTCAACCCTATAGATTGTCAGTTGACAGTCTCTGGACTGCATGGCATTATATCCCAGAAGACAACTCATTGTCTTGAACGTTAAACTCAATAACAAAATCATTTTAAAATATTCATAATACATATTAATAGGTAAATACATTAATAATATAACAGATAGAAGTACAAATTACATAGCCAGTGGAAGCCAAACTGCTTATAACTACATCATATAAATGAGCATAATTCTTTAACAAATTAGTCTGCCTGGAGAGAAGAGAAATATTGAAGACAAATGGATAAAATGTTAATATCATGACATTAAAATGATGCTTGTGTGGGAATTTTTTAACATGGGAACATAGGTCTTGCTAGTGGTTTATTTCCTTCAGTTTTTTTATGTTAAAAAACTGCATGCACAATTTCTTTATTAAAATCAATCACAACACAACAATATCAAGGTCAAGGCCAAGATTGGCTCGGCTGCATGTTTCAGCTATTAAAGCCATCATCAGGCAAATACATGATTAAGATATTCACACCACTGAACTGCAGTGCTGATAAAACTGGATACATGATAATATTATATTATAAAATGCTTGGCATAAAAGTACAAAGAACTAGACTATATAAAAATGAGAGTCATACTGTAAAACAGGGTTAAGACTCTTTGAATGATGTTTTATATCATCAAGTCAGTTGTTGGTTGTTGCAATTTTTTTATATTTCCGTGAACATAATGATATATTCTAGATTTTGTGTACATGTAATAAAATGCTTTGGAGGCCCATGGTATGGATGTAGTATATTATTGACGTTAATTGTTCAGCCAGTGCCTCATCTTACAGTTTTGTCCATTCTGTAGGGAATATAAACTGAGTTGCAGTTTATATTACGTCCGCATGAATATAAAACAATTTCAACAACCAACAAATGACTCGATGATATAAAACATCATTCGAAGAGTCTTAACCTTGTTTTACCCTATGACTTTCGTTTTTGTATGGTCTAGTTCTTTGTACTTTTATGCCAAGCATTTTATAATGTAATATTATCATGTATCCAATTTTACCAGTACTGCAATTCAGTGGTGTGAATATACATACATACATACATATTTATTTCGTTCCAGAGATCTACAGTTGGCAGTGCTGCCTTGAGATATAGAACATGTCAATAAAAAGTACATTCAAAATGATAAATTGTTAAAAATTAAATATCCAAGACATTTAAAAAGGCCACATATAATTGTAGTACATTAACAGTTGTAGAACACAAACAAGTAACACATCAAACCAAATCACAGACACGACACCGAAACAAACAACGTCAAAAATCAGGTGCCATTCACAACAATTATAAACAAAAACAGACAGATAATATTATATTCTAGATGTGACAAATAATAGGCGCAATCTTTATCTATAGGAAGCACAATCATTCCTTGATTTCCATTCATAATGCTCATGTAAGGAATAAAAAGAGCCCACCTGCAAAAATTTTTTTAGGGAATATTTGAATTTCTTAATGTCCTCTGACAAGCTTTTAATTCTACATGGCAAGTTGTTAAATATCCTAATCCCACTATAAAACACTCCCTTTTGCACTTTAGTCAGTTTACAGGTTGGATAATGTAAATCTAAACCCCGTCTAGTGTGCATGCCATGAATATCTGAATTTGTTACAAACTTGTCCATATTCTTAACCACAAAAACAGATATTGAGAAAATATATTGTGAACAGAATGGAAGAATGTTTAATGCTTTGAAAATTGGTCGACAAGAGTCCCTGTTACCC